ACAGGACAGACTTCGACGCCGGGCACATATTCGTGCGGAACATCATGTGTATAGAGCCACTGACGTTGCGTGATGGCGACTCTGCAGAACAGCTTCTAGACCGTCTCATCATATCCCCAGACGAGGAACAGGACATGTTCGACAAGAGGGCCGACTTTGATGTGGTCGTGTATTATGATGAGTCGACAAAGAACATCGACTTCATGCATAGACACAACCGATCCGATAGCGAAATTGCGTTGAAGCGGTTATTTGATACCCTGCACGAGTTCAATGCAGACAAGCCACTCAGGCGACCTCCGGTTCTTCTCAAAGGCGGTCTTGACGCTTGGATGGACCTGGTGGGCCCCCAGGCTTTGAAGACGTCGAACACTGCTGGACAAGTGGCTGCTGGTCCGACGCGGGCTCGGGCTATCCGACGATCGCCAGCTGCCAGCCATATTGCGAGGAACAATACGCAGAGAAGGTCGAAGCGCGAATACGTTCCCATGGACCAAGAAGAGCAGCAACAGTGGCTGGAAGAAGCTCGAAAGGGACGTGCTGCAGTCGAAGTGCCTCCGGCAGATGGTGAAGAGGAAGAAGAGCCGACCCAGGATTTCTACCGTTCAACAGAAGAGTTCCTACGTCGATACCCCGATGTTGAAGCTGAGCAGTCATCTATGATGTACCCGTCCAAGTTCCAGTCGACCAATCAATACGTCGCACCTGCCATACCTGTTGCACCTTCTCGTCCGCCGCCTTCTGTTCCTAGGGTGAGCTACAGTGGCGTACACGATCGGCAAGAACAGAACCGCAATGTCGTCTACAACGGACAGCCTCAATTTAGTAACCTGAGGCTACATAGGACGGGCCTGCTAAATTTTGGTGTCACGTGCTACATGAACTCTGTTGTGCAGTGTCTCAGTGGGCATCTATTGCTTTCGGACCTGTTCCTCACCGGAAGATATCAGCGAGACCTCCAGCGAGATAACTGGAAAGGAACGAAGGGGATTTTGCCGGAGGCGTACGCGACGCTACTGTCTAATCTGTACAAGGGCGATGTCACGTCCGTGCGCCCAAGCACATTCAGGGTAAGTCAAAACTGGAAGCAGAAAATAGGCATGACTAACTTTGAACAGCGCATTTGCGGACACTTCAACTCGCAATGGGGCATTGATGAGCAGCAAGACGCCAAGGAGTTCCTGGAATTTGTCCTAGACTACATGCACGAAGACCTCAACCTGACCTGGAACAAGCCGCCGCTCAAGCCACTTTCGGACCAGGAAGAGTTGCAACGAGAAAGATTTCCCCGCCAGTATTCAGCAATGATTGAATGGCGTAGATACCAGCATCGGGACATGTCCGTCATTGGTGGTCTCTTCGCTGGCCAGCACGCGTCGCAGCTTACATGCCAAACATGCGGCGTAACAAGTACAACATACGAAGCCTTCTGGAGTATCAGCGTCGAGATTCCCCGAGACGGCGAATGCGACCTGCGCCATTGTCTCAACTCATACTGCGCACCAGAGCGCCTAGCAGGCGACGAATTATGGCGTTGCCCTCGCTGCAAGAAAGACCGCGAAGCCGTAAAGAAGATCACCATTACCCGCGCCCCCGACACACTCGTCATCCACTTCAAGCGATTCAGCGCCTCGCGTACGGAAAGCGCGCGGAAAGTCCGGACGCCTGTTAATTTCCCGCTCCAACGCCTCGACATGGGTCCCTTTGTCGAGCCACCCATGACACCGGAACAAGAAAGATATGTCTCTGAAAAGGCCCGAGATGGTCCTGCGCAACTTGCTGGTGTCAAAAGCGATCCTACTATGAATGGGCCGTATGTCTATAATGCTTACGCTGTTATCTGGCATATTGGTGCTACGCTGGGAAGCGGACATTACATCGCTTTTGTCAAGGATAAGTCTAGGGGATGTTGGCGTTCGTTCAACGATGATAAGATTACGGATTTTGATCCTGGGAATCTTCCGCCACACAACCGTCTGCAGAATGAGAAGGCGTATATTGTTTTCTATGAGAGGGAGAGGGTCGCTGGTGGTGCTTTCTAGGCACAGCGTCTGTTAATGAAACATCGAACGCTCCAGCGCGTTGGGTTAGGTGTTTACGCTTATTTGACTTTTGGCGCTGCATCTTTGGGAAGTTTGTGTAGCGACAGTCTGGTTGAGATTATACTTTGCGCGTGCGACGAATTATGTCTCTGGGATGGGGCATTGCATACTTGGCGTTGGGATTATATACCTTGTCGAATATCATTCCGTTGAGACGCATCAGTGGCTTGTTACCTTTACATGTAAACTTACTGTGATGTTTGAGTACCTGGATACAGCGGGATAGGCACTAGGGATGGCTATCATTTGTGTCGCATTGTGTGAGAAATGATTTAGTGTAGAAGTATACATCACCTTAAATGCTGCCTCTTGATGAAATTTCAATAGTACGTATACTACAAGCTGCAAACTGCGACACAAGTTCCAGCCACCTTTACTGTGTGCTCTTCACACCTAATGTCATAGTTCAGGTCCGTCGTCGTGAGGCTGACAAGCCGATGATCGGGCGGCAGGGATGGTGAGGGACCGAACATTTTTTGTGCCGATAAGATAAGGTTTCTGACTCTCCACACCCGTCGTTCCCCAGACGCCGCAACCCCTCCTTCAATTGACTCTTCTTGACTCTTCCTTCTCACTTTCTATACACAGACACTTGCAAATATGTCAAAGGGACGCGTTTGCCTTGCTTACTCTGGTGAGTATTCCTATGACAGTTAATGTTATGCCAGCTGCGTCAACTGCGTTTCTGCGTTCACCTGCGTTCAACTTGCTCAGAGCCAACAAACTAACCCGAGCCATTAGGCGGCCTCGACACCTCCACGATCCTGAAATGGCTCATCGGTACGTCAGAAGCACATTCAGACACACAACAAAATCTAACGCGTAGACAAAGAGGAGGGCTATGAGGTCGTGTGCTTCCTCGCCAACGTCGGCCAGGAAGAGCCGTGGGACGAGGTGGAGAAGAAGGCGCTCAAGATCGGCGCGAAGAAGATGGTCATCCTAGACCTGCAAAAGGAATTCGTCGAGGAGCTCTGCTTCCGCGCCGTCCAGTGCAACGCCTCGTACGAAGGCCGCTACCTCCTCGGCACCTCGCTGGCCCGCCCCGTCATCGCCCGCGCACAGATCCGCGTCGCGCAACAAGAAGGCTGCGGGTTCGTCTCGCACGGCTGCACGGGCAAGGGCAACGATCAGGTCCGCTTTGAGCTGGCTTTCTACACACTTCAGCCTACTATCAAGGTTATTGCGCCGTGGAGGCTGCCGGAGTTCTGCGACCGCTTCAAGGGCAGGCAGGATCTGCTGGACTATGCTGAGAAGCATGGTATTCCGGTTACGTCTACCAAGGCGAAGCCCTGGTCTATGGACGCCAACTTGGCTCACTGCAGTTACGAGGCCGGTAAGACACCACGCATTAAGATTGTGTGTTCGAGGCTAATAGAATAGGCATCCTCGAGGACCCCGACGTGTCTCCCCCCGACGACATGTGGACCATGACCGACTCCCCGCTCAACGCCCCCAACGAACCCACCGACATAACCGTCCACTTCGAAAAGGGCATCCCCGTCAAACTCACCACCCCCTCGCAGACCTACACCGACTCCGTCGAGCTCTTCACCGCGCTCAACAAACTCGGCTTCACCCACGGCATTGGCCGCATCGACATCGTCGAGAACCGTTTCATCGGCCTCAAATCGCGCGGCTGCTACGACTCGCCCGCCATGACCATCCTCCGCCTCGCCCATCTCGATCTCGAGGGCCTCGTCATGGACGCCCAAGTCCGCAACCTGCGCGACCAGTTCGTATCCCACAACTGGAGCTACCAGCTCTACAACGGCATGTACTTCTCGCCCGAACGCGAGTTCATCGAGAACAGTCTGCTCTTCTCCCAGCGTAGGGTCAACGGCGAGGTTAGGTTGAAGCTGTACAAGGGGAACGCGTATGTGCTTGGTCGGTCCAGTCAGACGGAGAAGCTGTACTCTGAGGAGGAGGCTAGTATGGATACGTTGGATAACTTTAGTCCTATGGATACTACGGGCTTTATTGCTATTCAGAGCATTCGGTGAGTTTAGACGTCCTTGTTCTTGGAGGGTATAGATGGTGTGGATGGTTTGCTAACATAAGGCAGTCTCAAGAAGTACGGGCTCCAGAAGGCAGAGGAGGGCGAGAACATGTCGAGGGCTTAGAAGGCTTCGTCTGATATGCATACGACGCTGACGTACTGGCGGAGGTGGCTGCATCGTGAGAATATGCATGATCAGGTTACTTATGCGAGTCCTGAGGTTACGCCGAAGGGGAAGGCGGGTTAGGAGTGGGAATTGCGACATCCTGACGAGTATGATGAGATGGAATGAATAAAATAGATACCAATGATAAAAGTCATACTACTGATCTGGATATGTGGATGATGTGTTTGGTATCATGAGATTCACTGAGTTTGCTGCCAACAACTGTTCACATCATCGAAGGATACCAGCTAAAGTTACCCTGATATTCCCCTTCGATCTCCAACGCGTAGATTAGCAAAGCCCAACGTACTGCAACAACCTCATTGGTCGACGCAACTGCCAAGCACTCATTTCCAAATGGGGGTTGAAGCTCTTCCGAGCGTTCCGATATCGGTATCTGGAAGTCGGTACCGCTGAGAGCAACGTCGCACTCAGGTTTGCGACGAAGGTTATCGCATACTCATCAGTTTCTGGTTCCTGACGCACTGAAATGTGTATGTATGAAGATGTAGCTTGGTACCCGGTGTGTGCTTGTCGTCTTCCTCTTCTTCCTCCGCATGTATCCGCGTCTCTTCTGCTCTCTCTTCTTCAGCCTTGTTCAACCTTCTTTCTTTCTGTTTCCTCGTCTCATTATAGGACGTCGTTGTCGTATGCGCCGCTTGGTCATCTTGAGATCCCGCTGTCTCCTTTATCCCACATCTATATCCACTTCTCATCCCCTCTTCCGCCCGCATCCTCATTCACCGGAAGGATGCTGCCTGCGTTGCGCCTCAACCCATTCCTCGGTAGTGAGGTACAAGCTTGACCGTCGCCTGGATCCCGGATCCCGCTGTTGCGCCTGCCCGGTGCTGCCGTTGTAGTTTCCTGGCTGTTGCGAGGAAGGGCTTGCGTAAGCCGCAGGTGGGTTGTAGGCGGCAACAGGGTAGTTGGCCTGGGGTTGCGTATGCGAAGGAAGAGGAAGAGGAGGAGGAGGAGGCTGCTGTACGACGAAGTTGTTGACGTAGCCTGGGGCATACATCGGGCCCGGCTGCTGTACGAAGTTGTTGTTGACGGAGCCTGGCGCGTACATCGGGACCGGCTGGAAAGTTGGCTGGAAATGCGCATGCTGTGGAGCATACATGGTGGGCGCATATGGACTTTGGTAAACCCCAGCGACATTGTAGCCGGGAAAGGTATGTTCCGGAAGGGGAAGGGGATTGGGAACCCCATAATTACCATGAGGCTGGTACCCAGGTACGGGTACAGGTGGAGGAGCAGAATTGGGGGGCTCCATCTGGTAGAAGATCGGACGTGAAGCCATTTGGTCGAGGGTGTACCACCCATCCGACTCATTCTGGAATGCGTCCAAGTTCAGACCGGCTGACTCAAAGTCCTCAGCTCGCAAGGCATCTTCCTGGCCGGCATTCCCTGAAGGCTGATATCCCACAGGATGCGAAGGCCCATGGCCCAAAGTAGCCTGACTCGAGTTCGAAGGAAACCTCATCAGATCCGCACCAGGGAGGGCATTATCAAACTGGTGTTGCGGGTAATGCTGGTATTGCTGGTATTGCTGCTGCGGCTCCACGAAGTCCATACGCGAGGCTGGTGCCGTAACAGCAGGCGGCGCGTATCCCGCTCCCGGATGGGCAGCAAAAGAGTTGCGAGGTGCAAGCGAATATGGAGCATAGCGCTGGCTGCGCACGGTATTCTGCGGCGCGGACCTACGACCATACTGCACATTTGTCGCTATATGTGCGTGATCCACATGCTCTCTTCGCGTATGGATGGCGGCCAACTGTTGTCGAAAAGCTGGGCTAGGACCAGGAGGACCAGGAGCCGCGTTGGTTGGCAGAACCTGAGGTCTATTCAGCCCCTGCTCGCGCGCGAGTGTGGCCTCACTCAGGTAAGCTGCATTTGTAATGTTACCGTGGGCATCCCGTCTTGCCCTTGGCGATCCCGGAAGAAGCGGCCGTTGTCGCCGCGGTGGTGGTGGTGTCGAGTCTGCACTGCGACGTTTGCGCGCCATCTTGAATGGATAGATTACCAGGGAAAGATATGTCAGTAAGGTTAAAAAAAAATGTTGCTAATAAGATTGCAGATGTTGGCGAGCATGATTTATACGCAGCGTTTTCAGCACGCGCAGTGAAGTTCGCTAGAGACGACGGATTTGGACATGGTAAAAAACATCTATCCGTGGTTCGACAATGTTTAACCATAGGTGTTTCTTCTACGCTACACACAGCAAACGACATACCAATATTGTATTTCCTTCCTTGCCCCGGGAGAAACGCCTACCTGAAGCACGCGTACATGTCTCTCTCGTCTCGGCCAAAATCAGCAACTGCCTCCGTAGACCAGCTCCTCCCGCCTCGTTGCAGCCACGCTTCATGTTCCAGATTCTCCCAGATCGAATCGGCAACGGGCTCTACAGGTGGCATTCGCTTACGGTAGGCTTCCTTTGGTGCCTCACTTGCCCGCCTATCCGCGTGCACCTTACTGTCATCCCGCGGTTTCTCCGAGCGCCCCCCACGGATCACCATGTTTGTTTCTGTAGTTCCGCTACTACCAACCTTAGTTTCACTACGCACCTTCCCCGGGCGCCCACCACGGATTACCATATTTCTCTTGATGATTCCACCGTTGCTACCAATTCGACCATAGTTACGTTTCTCCATGTGCAGCTTGCTGCTATCTTGCACTTTCCCCGGGGGCCCATCCCGGATTGCCAGCTTTGCGACTTCACCGCTTCGACCAACTCGACCATAGTTACACTTCTTCGCTCCCTTGGCTCGCGACTTAGCTCGCTTCTCTTCTAATTCCCGCAGAGCTCTCTCTAGCGAAGCGTTGTCCTCCTCCGGCGTTCGCGCGTCATCTTCGGACTCGCTAATCCACTGATCGATGGCTAGGGGTGAGAGCGGAGAAGATGGTGAGTCTGGATCTTCGTGGTCATGTAATTGGGAGGACGGAGGAGGGTGGCTGACTGTTGCGATGTCCATGAACTCCTCCGCTAGACCTGCCATGTCAGTACCGAGGAGGCTTGTAACTTCGTCGTCTCGTTTGCGCTGTGCCTTGCTTTGAGCGGTTAGCGGGACCTCGATATCGTTGACTTGGTCCGCTAGGTCGGTCATCTCGCTGTCGCTCATGTTGGTTAGTAATGGTGCTTTTATGATTTGAATAGCTGATGTGGACAGGAGTGAATATCTGAAGGAGGACGGTTTCTGTGGAGTATTTAAAGTCGACTGAGGTGCTATGTCGAGACAGCATTGTCTTGTATAGGCTGTGTTTCGTTTGTCTTAAAGCTCGGTCATGTCACCAGGCTTCACTTTGGCGTACTTCCTGATCCCATGACAATGCAGCAATGAAACAGTTACTAGTCTATTACAATTTTATACGTATCATAAGTATCCCACGCACCTACTCATACAAAGAAAAGTATCTACCGCTCTGCTGTGTCTCCGATCGAATATCTCAAACACTGTGACATGTGACCGTAGTCTTGCAATGTTGCGAGCAACTTGTAGTCACCTCACTCAAGCATAGCTTCCACCAAACATACTAACACTGCGGCCCATTCGCCAAGCACCCCAAAGCACCATGCCCAAGATCGCTAGGTTGGCAAACTGCCTGCAGATGACGAGCAGGAAAGTGCTAGCCAAGACGGAACTGTCCGACCAGCCGGAGGTGTCGACGTAGAGAAGGATGATATCGTAGATGATGAAGATATCGCGGAGCCAGATGAGAGGTACGACGGTGAAAGCGAAACGAGCGAGGTCGTTGCGTTCAGGTGACTGTATAGCGTTAGTTACGGAACTTGATACACTGTCATAAAGAGAAAGACTTACACCATGAGCATTCTTGTTCGTGGTACCATACTCCCTCCACACTTCGATGGACACACTCAGACTGGCTGCGACAACGATAGCCTCATGCACGATGTAGGTGATCCTCGTCGCACGGTCATGCTGCATGACGTTTGACCAAGACAAGAGTGCATCCGGACCTGAGCTGCCGGTACTGATGTCTCGTGCCTCCAAACCCAGACCCCACGCTGCAATACCGGTACCCAACATGGCAACCATGATAAACGTGTTCCAGATACGCGACATGGTCTTCGGCGTCGAGATACCCGTACCGTTCTCCTGGACGTGACTAGAATGGATCCAGACGCCGCCGTTGAGCAACACGGTGAAGAAGACAGTCGCGAGCGTTGTGGCGAAAGTAAGCGCTGAGATGCTAGAAGCATAATCACTGCCTGTGAGAGTGTAGCCGCGACTGCCGTTCCATCCCAGGTCCGCATCGTAGTCGATCGTTCCGCTCGTCTTCAGGACATCGGATATAAAGCGACATAGATACGCGACGAAGAGACAGAGAAGGGCGGGCCAGAGGAAGAGATACGTCCCCAGTGTCGTCTTCAGCGGGCCATCGCGCGCGCTGTTCTTGCCCGGTGCAGTAAAGCGACGCTGTTTAATCCGCTGGAATGTAGGTTTCGAAGCCAGACCAAGGAAGATCAGGGCGCCAGCCGCTGTGATGACATCGAGGGCGAAGACGGCTTGGTAAGATTCTCGTTCGTTGGTTATGTTGATGTTGGACATGGCACGCTATGTCAACTGGTGGGGTGAAGCGTGTGGGTAGTTCGACTCAGGTGAGGTTTTGGATGGCAGATCGAAGTTGGACCGGAACCCCATCTTTGACTGCATGGCAAATTGATGGAAAAGCATGCCTGATGCCTATGACGTTGATTGCTGTCACCCACCCGCTTGGCAATAAGGTGTTGGGTGGATCTGTTCGGATCTGGGTGCCGACGAGGGCGGTGCCCGGAAAGAACGGCAGGTATAGCGAAGACTCGTTCGAAAGCATGTGTCACAGCTGCTGCTATCCGTCCATTGTGCAGCAAGGGATACAGCCCGATTTCATGGATGCAACGCGTGAAAGTATTCACACGTGTCGATGATGCAGCCCTGGGGTGAACGACTTGTGGAGGTTGGGGAATAGCCTAGCTGGTATGTGGTTTAGTCGGCGGGAGGAGCGCGGACGCTAACTCATGATCTAACCGCTTCAGTATCTGGCAGCTCGCCTCTCATCCCATTCCGCCATACCCGTTTTCTCGAGACATCTCCTTTTTCTGGCGCATCTAGTGTCGCGTGGCATCTCCTTCATCAAGGGCGGCTGTGAATTCATTGGATGCGGTGAGACGCACTGTGGTGTCGACGGCGCGACACAGCCATAGGGGATCCTCGGAGCCGTTGCACTCCACGGCGCGTTAAAGTGTGTATCACGCAGGGAATTAGTACGTTACATGTCAACGAATTCAGAACAAAAGCATTGCTACTTGCACTGACCATGGAAAGAAACATAGGAAAGCATAGATCATAGAGATACATAGGCAAGGAGAGAAAACTTCCACAACCTAATCCCCACCCAACCCCAACTTCCCCACAACCCCATCCACCAACCCCCCAATACTCGCACTCTGCAAAATCTCAAACACACTAACCGTAGCCTTCGTCTCCCTCTGAATCCAATTCTTAATCTCAACAGCAACCAACGAGTCCGTCCCATAGCTGCTCATCGAACGCGTAGCATCGAGTTCCGATATATCCATCATCAGACTGCGCGACAGCTTCTTGAGTAGCGCTGCGAGAATGAACTCATTCGCTGCCTCGGCAGATGGACAGGAAGAGAGCTGCGCAGAGAGCGAGAGCGATGTAGTCGTCGTACCATCATCTGACGTTGTCGCAGGCGCGTCGATCTTGAGATGCGGGCGCAGATACGGCAAGTGACTCAACACGGGATCTCGTGCGAAGAACGGCGCTTCTCCATCATCAAAGCTACTGATATCGAGGTCAGAGTCGAGACCCGTGACGACATGTCCCATCATCGGTTCGCGAATGCCCAGCTCGATCAGCGCCAACATCTCCTTCTCCTGGATGTGTTTGAACTCCTGGACTTGCACTTTGCGACCTCGAACCTTCTTTTCGACCACATAGCCCACGTCGCCGACGATACCGAGGTCGATGGCTGTAGCGGGCAGACCGATTGCATTGCGGTATCTGGCTAGTGCGACTTGGTAGGCGCAGCCTGCGGCGTAGTTGGCTTGACCGGGGTTGCCGATGAAGGAGTGGAGGGAAGAGAGGAGAACGAAGAAATCGAGGGGCTGGGATAAAGTGGTCTCGTGGAGGTTTTTTGAGCCGTGGACCTTGGGAAGGATAGTCGAAGTCCATTGATGCGAGGTCATTGTGCTGAAGAGGGAGTCGTTGAGGGTCATGGCGCCTTGTATTACACCCTTGATCGGTGGGAAGGAGCGCAGGGTTTCGGAAAGAAGGTTGGAGAGCTCGAGTGCGTCGGATACGTCACACTTCAAAATGGCAGTGCGGACGCCCGAGGCGTGAAGGGATGCAAGGAATGATTGGGCTTCTTCTGATACTGCGCCGAAGCGGGAAATGAATATGAGGTGTTTTGCGCCGTGGGTTACGAGCCATTGCGAGATGCTTCGTCCGAGACCGCCGAGACCGCCAGCGAGGAGGTAGGAAGCTGATGGGTCGAAAGAGATAGCGGGTGGTGGTCCCTGGGCAACCTGGAGCTTGTTAGTCGCATCTTCGACGTTGATACACGGATGGTGACTTACAAGAACTTGGTCGTTAGCCTGCGGTACCATTACCACCTGTTTATCGTGACTCGCATCTTGCAACACCTTGACAGCCTCGTTCAGCTTGGACCAAGGTAGAATCTCCATGGCGCTAGAGTCGAGTGTCTTCATCTCGGTGGCAGCGCTCATAGCTTCTTGAAACGCTCGCCTCGCAAGCCTGGGCTTTTCCGTATACAGCAACGCCATATCGACCGATGAGAAGGATGCGTTGCGGCCAAACGGTGCCATTTCCAGTCGGCCAGTCCCTGGTGCATTGAGATTTATGAGTCTGCCAAAAGGCGCGATGCAGCTGAACGTCGCTTGTAATGCCTCGCCAGTCAGGGTGTTCAGAATAACATCAACACCGCGGCCTTTGGTCGCGCGCCGAAGCGCAGTGACAA